AGAGAGAGAGAGAAAGAGAAATTTACTCAGGTCAGGAGACACGATAGTGTCTTGGATGTCAAATCCACAATCGAAACACTTTTATTCAATGACAGTAATAAAAATATTCGAAATAAGTAATTTTTCTTTTACTAAAGATCTGTCTAAAAACCAATAGATTCTCTTTCACACAGATTTAACTGGACACTTTCAGAAACTCTATTTAAAAGTTGTTTAATTTCATTATTTTCTTATCAAAAAAATCAAGACAATTTCTCTTTTACATTGATTTAATCAGACATCATATCTTTTGTAATTTTTGAAATTTTCCAAATTTGATATTTTTTAATTATTCTTTCTTTGTCAAAATTGGAATGATTTTTCTTACATAGATTAAAAAAACCGCATCTTTTTCGAGCAACTTCAAAATTAATATTTTGATGATTTGTTTCTAACTGAAGATAAATAAATGTCTTCTACAATTTGTGTGAAAATCTTTCTCATAATTTTTGTACAATTCAAATCAGACTTTAATTTAATTAACTTATTAGATAATATCTATACTGTTAATAGAGATAGAATGATTAATTTTTTGTTGTATAAATTAGATAAGTTACAACGAGAAATATGGTTATTTTTCGGTAAGCAAGATCTTGGTTGCTAGATTTTTTCTAAATGAAATAAATTCAAACAGTCATATCACCAACTACGCGCCACTACAAGTGGTCTTCCAACGTAGTAGTTCTATAACAATTCGATAATCAATATTTTTGATTATCGATTAAAATTCTCTTTTTTATTATCCCCCCCACAGGAAATATATATTGCGAAAAATATCACCTCAGCCAGGGATCGAACCAGGATCGCCTGCTCTCCGGGCAGGCATCTTATCTACACTGAGACTATGGTAATATTTATCGCAATATTCAAATTAGATAAGATTATGGACAATGAATTATAGGCATAGATGGAAATTTCTATTTTAAACGATTTTAATGATATCAATCGCTGATTAAGTTAATCGAAGTTTAATCAAAGTCCTTCGGAAACTGTTAAAACTTGTCAATTTGATAATCATATTTCAAAGAACTTTGTTATATAAATTTAAATTTAATTAATTTATTTTAATTTAAATTGGAAGAACTTATTTATATTTTAACTTATTTATATTTTCTTATACGAAAGAATAATCAACTAGACACGTCCATCATCATATGCGCTTATCAAACTTGCTTAATGTTGAGTATTTTATATAACTAATATCTTTAATCCAGACATTTTATCAATCAAAAGGGATGAGAACAAAAATCTGATTTTGCATATTTGGAAAATGTATAAATTTTAAACATTTTAAGCGTAAACCCGCTGTCTATTTTCTGATTCGCTGTCTGTTTTTATTGATATTTTACTCTTGTACTGACGATATATTGATTTTTATGATCCGTATCTTGTAAATTATTAGGGATAATTCTGTTTACTTTTGAAAACATATAAAAAACACATAAATCCGAGCTCCTTTTTATTTTTATATATAATTTCGATGATGGGGATACTAACTTTTAAATACTACATTAAATATTACCAATACTCTCATTTTTCAATCGCTATTTCCTGTTAAATTATTCAAGTGCAAAATTCAGGATTATACGCATGCGTTAAAACACATGATTAACTCATAAAAAGCTTAATATGTGCACAGGTGTTTTTTCGATTTTTGTTTAGATAGGGAAGTGCAATTTAACAGAGATCATTCTGCAGTTAATTTATATTGATTAGTAATTGATTTGAACACAATAAAATAGTTCCTTTAAATTTCTATTAAATGTTCCTAATTTTACAAGTTATTTATCTCTTAACTAATTTCTCTCTCTCTCTCTCAAGATTATATCAAAATATAATCGTTATAATATAAATTAGAAATAGCAGATATGTTATCTATTTGTCTTACTAAAATTGAAAATTCTTTATCTTTTCTTGAGATGCCTTTAATGCAAAAGATATTATCTTGATATTATCTCTTTTAAGACAAAAATCGATTCCAAATTCGCCTTAAATCTAATTAAAGTAAAAACTTGCAAATTTTGTAACAACTTGTTATAGAAAGTGAAAAAAGAAGTTCATTAAAGCGACATGATGACGATTAATATCTTGATTTTAAAATTTCTGACTGTTTTAGGATGCTAATCTAACATGGTACACAGACACTCCAGATTTAACAGAATGTTTCCAAAAGACAGTACTAGTATGGATACCATGTGGATTTCTATGGATGTTCTCGGTGATAGAAGGATATTACTTTTTAAATAGCAAAAGAAGAAACGTCCCGTACACGTGGTTATTTATTTCTAAACAAGTACTTACAATAGGATTAATTTTACTTTGCATAGTCGACTTAGGAGTGGCAATACATGAAAGTACTAAAGATACGGTCTACAGTGTTGATTTTTACACACCCGTTATAAAAATCATTAGCTTTGTAAGTACAATAACATTTTTTATATTAATAATTATATGTTATTTAAATATAAATATATGTCATTCTCTAAAAATATTTTTCTATAATTTTTAAATAATACTTTTTTTATTATTTTTGTTTTTTCTCTGAAAGTAATTAGATAATGATTATTTGTCATAATGGGAGAAAACTAATTATATTTAAAATAATTATATCTGATTACATGAATTCTTTGTATCATATTTACCTAAACTTGTTAATTATTTCAGACATTAGCATCGGTTTTGATGCAGTACAATAGAAAATATGGAATGCGAACATCGGGTCTTTTATTCTTGTTTTGGTTCTTTGTTGTAATATGTGGATGTGTCCAATATAGAAGCTTTGTAAATGAGTTCATTAAAGGGGTATGTTAATTAGATTTTTATAATGCTAATGTAAAATAATTTAAATGTAGATATATTTAAGAAAGTAGCATTTTCTACATTGGAGATTCTTACATTTTTATAGATTGAATTTTTCTTAGATTAGATTATTATTCCATATTATTAGCTGTTATAAGAAGGCTAGTGATTTTTAAATAACATAACGAGATTCATAAGAAAATAATTTATTTTTAGGCAGAGCCAACATATCCATTGGTGTCTTATATGATCTACTATCCAATAGTAGTAATATTGTTTGTACTTAATTTTCTGGTTGATGCAGAGCCTAAATTCTCCGAATATCCTACGGTAATTTCTGTTTTATTAATTGTAATGATACGTAATGCTGTTAATATAAGATTTTGGAAGCTGATGATAAATAATCTTGAAATACTTATTTTTACTTGCAGGTCGAATCTCCATGTCCAGAGCAAAGCTCTTCTTTCCCTTCCAGAGTGATTTTCGCTTGGTTCGATTCTTTAGCCTGGAAGGGTTTTCGAAAACCGCTCGAGACATCCGATTTATGGTCGATGAATCCGGAGGATATGGCCTCGGAAATTGTGCCAAAATTTGACAAATATTGGAATAAAAACTTGAGAAAAACAGACGAGTAAGTTTAATTAATATATCTCTTTATACAAATGTATAAATTACTTGCAATTAATATAATTTAGCGAAACTTTTTCAAAATAAATTTTTTGAAAGCGTTTATTTAAAATTGTAAAAAGAGATATAGGAAACATATTTGTGTTGATATCGATACAAAAAAAACATTTATATGAGAAAAGATATTTATTATAAAAATTATATTTCTTGTGATATATGTATATAGAATTGTTACTTTAGATATTTTTTTAAATCAATTTGTTTATTACGATAGATTTTCGAAATATTAGCATATTATCTGCATAAAAAAATTTACATCATTAGTAAACATTAGTAAATAATATAATGCTCTTTGATAAATTCTCTATTAACATATTCATATATTTCTTGTGCTAACAAGGCTGATTTGGACTTACTTTAGGTAGGATGTATCATATAACATCTGGATTATTTTTAATAGTCAAATAGAAATGTATATAATAGATATTCTTTATATATATTATAGAGTAGAAAACGCAAAAGCATCATTCCGAAAAGCGTCTGGACAAGTAAACTTTAACAGTAATCGAAAAAAAAAGATTGCCTCTATCTTACCGCCTATCTGCAAAGCTTTTGGAGCAACATTTTTATTTGGTGCATTCCTCAAATTGATTCAAGACGTTATGACCTTTATTAGTCCACAAATATTAAAGTAAGTATTAAAATTTTCTTTTATTCTATTTTAGATTTTATACAATGTATATTTATTATATAATTGTTCTAATCATTCTTAGCCTGCTTGTGCAATATATTCTTGTAACACATCTTTTTTTCCATATTTTGTAGGCTTCTGATTGGTTTTATTGAAGGAGAAGAGTCAATGTGGAAAGGATATTTTTATGCTGCATTACTTTTACTTACAGCAATGCTTCAAACATTAGTACTGTCCCAATATTTTCATCGTATGTTTTTGGTCGGACTACGCATACGTACTGCATTAATCGCAGCGATTTACCGTAAAGCGCTGAGAATGTCGAATTCTGCGAGGAAAGAATCCACACTCGGCGAAATAGTGAATTTAATGTCCGTAGACGCTCAAAGATTTATGGACCTAACCGCGTACATAAATATGATCTGGTCGGCACCCCTGCAAATAGTGTTAGCTTTATATTTTCTCTGGGAAGTATTAGGGCCGGCTGTACTCGCTGGTTTAGCAGTTATGATCATTCTTATTCCCGTGAATGGATTAATCGCTAACAAAGTGAAAACGCTGCAAATCAAACAGATGAAAAGCAAAGACGAAAGAGTGAAGTTAATGAACGAAGTACTTAATGGTATTAAAGTTTTGAAACTTTATGCATGGGAGCCTTCATTCGAGCAACAAATACTTAAAATTAGAGTCAAGGAAATTCAAGTATTAAAAGAAGCGGCGTATCTCAATGCCGGTACGAGTTTCATATGGTCGTGCGCGCCCTTTTTGGTACGTTTTTAGATGTACATTATGAAAATTTCAAAAATAGCGATTTTATTGAATGCTTGTCTCTTTCTCTTTTTTTTAACAAATAAAGTCTTGCTATAATCTTTTTAAAGTTTTTATTGTGGAAAATATTCTCTTTTTTTGAACTTTTCAATTATTATAAAATTACAGAATATTTAATTAAATATATATTTTTTCTATATCGTCTTATTTTTACATAAATGTGCAGGTATCGCTGGTATCTTTTACAACTTATGTACTTATAGACGAAAAGAATGTCCTAGATAGCACAACTGCCTTTGTTTCGCTCAGTTTGTTCAACATTTTAAGATTTCCACTCTCTATGCTGCCTATGATGATTGGTAATATAGTTCAAGTAAGTTCAATAGATGTAATTTTTTTCTTTTCCTTTATTTATAGAAATGTTTATTGATAGTTTATACTTGACTAATATATTTGTATACATATTTATTTTATTTAGGCTTATGTCTCTGTAAAACGCATTAATAAATTTATGAATATGGAGGAATTAAATCCAAACAATGTACAGCATGATCCATCAGATGGTAAGCATAAATTTTTTTTTAAACTAACATCTCAATATGTACGATGTATATTTATAATATATATTTTATCGTATTAATTTAGCACACGCATTAACTATTGAGAATGGTAGTTTCTGTTGGGATAATGAAGATATTGAGAGACCAATACTACGAAATATCAATTTCCATGTAGAACAAGGTCAATTAATAGCAATAGTTGGTACAGTGGGATCAGGTAAGAGTTCTCTTTTATCTGCTCTGCTTGGCGAGATGGACAAATTAAATGGAAGAGTAAATACAAAAGTGAGTATTTTTTTATTGAAACATCAAGCAAAATTTACACATTTTCTCATAATAAGAATTGTAATAAAATTAAAAAGGAGAAGAAAAGAAGCTTTTTATTATACGTGCTTATTTTTGAAAAAGATTTAAAAATGTCAAATGCCATTGCAGAATAAATTCTATTATATGCTCTTGTTATGTGTTTGAAAATATAGTGTTAAAAAATTAGATCTTGATTCTTGGTTCTTAATAAATATTGATTAAATTGAAGAATATGTTTTATTTATCTCAAATTAAATAAATTGATTGGAAATTACTTTTATTAAATTATGATAACTAAATTATGATATTAATACAATTATATTTTTATTTCTGATATTCTAAATATTTTTCTTAGGGTTCAATTGCGTACGTTTCGCAGCAACCGTGGATACAAAATGCCACATTGCAGGACAATATCCTATTTGGAAAGGCCTTGAATAAATCGATATACAATCGTGTGATTGAAGCGTGTGCATTGAGTCCTGATCTTAAGATGCTACCTGCAGGAGATCAAACGGAGATCGGAGAGAAAGGCATAAATTTGTCTGGTGGTCAAAAGCAGAGAGTGGCCTTAGCTAGAGGTGTATATAATGATTCGGAAAATTATTTCCTGGATGATCCTCTGAGCGCAGTAGATTCACATGTAGGAAAACACATTTTTGAGAAAGTGATAGGTCCAAACGGCCTGTTGAAAAAGAAAACTAGAGTGCTTGTTACACATGGCATCACGTACCTGCCAGAGGTCGACAACATTATTGTTCTTAAAGATGGCGAGATAACAGAGAGTGGAACTTACAAACAGTTGTTAGAGAAGAAAGGTGCTTTTGCCGATTTCTTAGTGCAACATTTACAAGAAGGTATCTATCAATACCAAATTTAACTTTTCTTTTTGCATACCTTTATATCATACTTATTATAAAATTTATTGTTACATTTTCCCTGGATTTAAGTTGGAAATCGTAAGTCCGCGAAAAAGTAATTACGACTTGTTTTCTTACTTTGTATGCTTGCATAACAAATACTCATTATATTCGCTTTATTAGAAAAATTGCTAACAAAGAAATGTTCCATTAAATCAAAAGTTCTGCTATTTCTTTGTTTTAAGATTTTATTTGCCGACAAAATAATAATTATTAGTAATAATTATTTATTTAAGAATAACTAAAGATTAATTTAAGATTAATTAGTTTTTAGTGTAACTAATTTTATATAGATCCTTTCATATGTAGAATTTTTTACGTATAATTTACATATATTTAGATATATTATTATAACTAATATTTTTTTATGCAAATATAATTGATTTTTTTTGTTTTCTTATCGATATTTTTTAAACTATTGCACATTTAAACTTATAAGTTTGAGTAATTTAATTTCTTTAATATTTTATTCAAATTTGTTTGAATTCCTGTTTTGCACTTTTATTTAGAAATGTTTACGCATATGAAAATTTTCTTGAATTTTTTCTCATTTATACAAAATTGATATATGTGGTAACTAATTCGTTGTAGTAACTAATTCATTACTAAAATCACTCGACGAATTTGAAACAGTGCACGTTGATGAGGGTTCTGAAGCAGATTTGCGTGAAATTAAACAGCAACTTGAGTCAACGATGGGAGTTGACGAATTGCAACAAAAATTAACTCGCGTACGGTCCAGAATATCCGAAAGTTTAAGTGAATCCGGTTCTGTAGCCGAAAGAAAATCACTCAATGGTTCTCTGACAAGGTATAATCTCATTCAATGTATTTTTTTTAGTAAAAAAATGATAATTTAAATAATAATAAAATAATGTATACATTGTATATACAAATAGGCAATATTCGACGGAAAGTCAACAATCAGCAAATTACATGCATAGCAATAGTACAAAAGAAAAAGAAACATCGAAGCCCAACAATGTCGGGGAGAAACTGATAGAAATTGAAAAAGCTGAAACCGGAAGCGTAAGTTGCACCAGATATCGCTGGTGATCTTTAAAAAAAAACTTCTCTATAATTTATAATAACCATACATTGCATATTCATGTTGTCAATGTTTTTTCGCAAGGTAAAATGGAAAGTGTATTCTCATTACTTGAAATCTATTGGATGGTTCTTATCGATATCAACAATCGTGATGAATGCGGTCTTCCAATCGTTCAGCATTGGCTCAAGCGTTTGGCTCAGCGTTTGGTCGAATGATAATCAAACCGTTGTGAATGGCACGGTCGATACAGCGAAGCGAGACATGTACCTTGGAGTATATGGTGCACTCGGTTTTGGCCAAGGTATGTTTCTATAGGATTCTTTAATCTTTGTAACATTCGTTTGTCAGATAGATTCGATTGATTAGTACTATATAAAATATCATGTTTACGAAAGATGATCAGGTAAGCATGTCTCTGCCACTGATATATGTATTTATATAAATATTACTTTTCTACCGCAGAAGGCAATTACTTCATTTTAATACAATGTTAACAGGCAATGGCACTTAATCTTGCTCGTCATAGCATATCATAATTCAAAAGGCATGTTCCCTCACAGATTACACATAATTGGGGTAACTAATCTTAATGTAGTCATTTCTAAAATTTCATTGAGTTAACAATGATTGAAATTAATTTAATTACTAACCCAATTAATACGATTTTTGTTCCGAATAAATGTTATGAGTTATGTGTGTCCGTGATTATCACGCATTTAATTCTCAAAGCAATTCAGGTAGAATTCTTTTTAAGAAATTAAACTGAGTGTGGTTTGCTGTGTCTACAAAGCTAACGTTACTAATTCAGAATTTAAAAAGCCATTAGACATTGAATCTTTTCAATAGACATATGTTTTTATTGCAAGTATAGTAATAATTTTCTACAAATAATCGCTTCTTTACTATTGCATGAAATACCTTTCTGTTTGAAATGTCTTTTATTCAGTACAATTTGCACCTCTTCTTAGATGATTTATTAATAGATGATTATTAACTTTAACAATCTTTTTTATTATACACGAGAGAAGAAACTTATATTTAATAGGCAAAAATTGGTGAAGGAAAATTGTTCACGGATATATATTTAGGATACTACAATTGATGAATGTTATATGTATTTGTATATAATTCTTTTGCGATCTTTTTATAATTTTCAAATACGATTGGTACAATTTATTAAAAATTTATTCGATGTGTCGTTCACTATTTAAAGTTTACTACACAGAAAACAAAAGTAATTTTTTTAAATACATAATATGTTGTTACGTCTAATATACGCATGAAGTAGAAAGACAAAAGAAAGCTTCGTAGATTGATGTATCCTAAAATAATAAAAACGGGAAATCAGTTTATATCATATTAAATCGATGATTTAAATATGTATACGTTAGAAATATTAATCGAAGTTATAAAATGAATGTAAATTGACAAAAATCATGTATTCAACTAAATGTATGATAACTCAAAATTTTGCAGAATGCCCGCACTGATTTCCTGATCAGATAATTGCGTGTAAATTAGGCTGGATGACTAATAAGCGTAGTAACATAACACATGTTAATCTAGAAAAATTTAAACTCTAGAAGGAGAAACATTTGAGACGGTTTACTTGTCAATTGCAATTACGATTGTTTAATTTAATCAGAACCTTTATCAATAAAATATGCTTGAATTTTTAGTATATTCAAAAATACATATTGACATATTTAATATTAAATGAGGATTTCTGACTCAGATTTATACAACATGCAGAATATAACAACGACAATCTATGAAATTCAATTCGAAAGTCAACTTATATCGAAACCCTGACATGATTATTTTTCCATACCTTTTCCTAATGATATATTGATATTAAATGCGTGTATATCACACATGTTGTAAATTTTATGTTAATAAAATAAGGATCGTGATCACATTTAATGCTAAACATGATGAGAATGCGAGCCGTAATGTCTCGCATATGCAAATTTTTCTCCATCTCGAGTCATGACAATCTAGCCAATTTCGCTTTTCGTTTTGTTGTTAACTTATTATTACGGCTAATAATTCTAACGCTAGTTGTGTTAGCGTGATTATATACATAAATGAAACTGCAAAAACATAAACATAATACATAAATGAGACTGCTCGTTTTTGTACATCCTATTATAAACAGTTTTTTTTTCTTTTTTTACGCAGCACCCGAATTTAGTTAATAATCGAAAAAAAAAGATTTTTTTTCTTCATCACTGAGAAGCATTTATTTACTTTAAATTGAATTTCAGCCACTTTTGTAGTACTGTCGCAGATAGCGTTGGTTATTGGCTGCCTGCAGAGCAGTAAACTGCTGCATTCCGAGTTATTGTTCGGTGTACTACGATCACCTTTAGGATTCTTTGATACTACGCCGTCCGGCCGAATATTAAATCGTTTTGGAAAGGATATTGACATAGTAGACAACCTTTTACCTCCGACTCTTAGGTTTTGGTTCCTTTGTCTAGTATCGGTATGCGAAAATTTAGTTTTAATCTCTGTATGTCACCACACGAATTGATATTTAACAGGAGCACTGGTCCACCAATCGGTACAAATATGATTAGTTAATAATTCGACGAATTAAAAAGAATTCCGGTCATCGCAGTCTTCATTATCGTTCATCAATGATTAGTAGGCGACCATTAAAAGCGCGCATTATTAATCAACATAATTGCATGCTCGGTGACACTGTACATACCTCTTTTCTCACAATGTAATCTCGTAAAGTACTATCTTTGTTACAAACTTCACTTTTTTTCTCGTTTATTATCATATTATCATATTTGCGTTCTTCATTTCTCTCCTCATTTATTATTTTGTACCTATATTTATTGTGCCTTTATTTTTTTCAGTATATGATATTTAATTTTTCTTTTCTCTTATTTAGTATGATATGATTATAATTATGTGTACCTTAAATCATGTGTGACTACTAGTGAGGAACTTGCATATGACAGTTTAGACGCGTGATGAGCAACTAATGAAAATGAACATTGCCGATCGTAGAATTTTAATCCGGTATCCGATGTGACACAATCGCGGACGCAAATATCTATTATGTAAAAACTCTGTCAATTTTATCCGATAAATCAAAGTTGATCATCGATCGTTGTAGGCGTGACGGTTCTCGCAACGGCGCTATTCCTGGCTAAAGGGACGGTAATCGCTTCTACGCGTATCTTCATTGGTACGCTGCAACGTGTTCTTCGCAACCCAATGTCATTCTTTGACAGAACTCCGATTGGCCGAATTCTTAGTCGGCTTGGTAAAGACATTGATGTTATTGACAATATTCTACCAATGATTCTACGTTCTTGGATCACTTGCCTCTTTTCGGTATGATATTCTCATATAACTACGCACTACTGTATAAGTAATGATCGCTGTGATAGTTGTTATGAATTAATATGAAACGATATTTGCTACAAATAATTAATATCTCTTTTGTTTTATTTTTTTTTCAATTCAATCGCATACTTTTAAATTTGCTTTGCAATATTGATTTTACTTTTACCTTGCACGAAATATTCTTGTTTTCTGTTATACTGATAAATAATTTATGTTTCATCAGTAATTTATGTCGCTTTCCATATTATTCGTCATAGATTTTACATTAGAATTACTTAAAATGATAATTGAAACGAGATTTGTGAATATGGAATGAAATATGGAATAAAAAAAATATTTTTTCTTTTTTTCTATTTATTCTATAATAAAATCGCGCGTTTGTTCCGCATGTTTAGAGATATAAAAACTCAATGTACACGAAGAATACATGAAAAGTGCGGATATCTAATAGTAGGATTGTACATTTGTCTTTTTCTTAATAGAAATTTGTGAATTATTTGGAATAACAAAGCTTGAAGTTTTAGGAGAAACAGCAAAATATTCGTAGCGCTAATTTACCAGCTAAGCGTACATGGGCACGGGTATGCTACTTGATGCGCGTAAGAAGTTGCCAGCAATCAGCACAGCATGATGGATCGACAAATGTGAGAGGACACGAAAGGACATGATAAGTACTATCCTCGATGCTGTTTGTCTGGCTCGAACAGTATTTAAGCGGCTTACCCGTGCGTTTTGTGCGTTCAGCCGGTCAGGCCAAACAGTCATATCTTGAATGGCTGCTTGATTCTTCAGTTTAATCTCCTTCGAATTCATCAAAAGATACATTCCTACTAATAATAAATGTACTAGTAACATCTGAAGCAAAATTGATGAGTTAAAAAATATAGTATCCATGTATGAGATTGATCGAATAAGTTCTGATCCCGTCGGTTTGTTAGAACTTAATTGAAAATATTAATTATTGAGAATCATACAAAGTCAGAATCAACGAATCAACGAATCATGTTTTTTTTCTGTGGTGCTACGTAAATTTATTTAATCTTATTTTTATTTTATAAAACACATGGTGCTGCATGCTTCTGCCGGATTTTACATTGTTCCATCCAATTACATTGCATAATATCATAAAACTCATTGATTATGGTGTATGCAAGTTGTTTCAGCCACTTTAAAAATGAAATGTAATGGGATTGGGTCGTTTATCTTTTTTTTGGGGCGACGCTATAATTGATGATGTTCATTTTCGTTTAGTATCAGTGTACGTATTTGAATTTGATGAAATGCATAAAGTAACGAGTGGCGAGTGATGATTATCTCGATTTTTTGCAAATTTTTTATTTGCGAAAATCAAATCATTATCATTCTTACATCGCTTAGCAAACTTTATCGTCTTCTCTTTTTACGTTTATATCGAATTTATCATATGTTAAGTTGTTTGTTTGTTTTTTTCCAGTTAAGTTTTTTTAATTGTTTGAGAACATTATTGTTTTCCTTAATTTTATTTCGTCTCATGACCATTATTGTGATGATTTGTACACCTGCTGTATATAATCATAGTGCAACTATAGTGTAGTGATCATTCAGGGAATGGACACAATTATACCAGTAATATTCGTGTACAGAAATGGTCTTGCTTGTGCTTGTTAATGCTTTTACTCTATACTCTTGCTTGTATACATCCTCCTAATTCTGCCTTCTGAGAACGTGTGATTTATTTGTATTTTCTGTTGCTATATATATCCTGTTTGGTATGTCACACAGCAAACTTCACATCTTCACATAACATGAGACCAAAGCGGTAGTTTAAATCCGATGCATTGGAACAGCATTACGACAAAAACTAAAAAGATAAATACATTTACTGCAATTGTTTGGTATATCGGTGAACGTACTGCCTATCGAAAAGAAAAAAAAACATTTAAATTTAATAATATCAAACGCGAAAAAAGAGACTGTTCTTGCGTGTAAGATACATGTATCTGATGTACACACGTACCCGCTTACGAGATAAGTTTTCGTTAATTTCTTTGCTAATTATCGACTTCTGTTTTCACAAATCGCGAATATTGTATCCAAGTACGGTTACAATGAAAGTCATCCATGTCTGATGTTATAGCGATGGCGAGCTTTTTCTGCGATTTGGCACCGCAGCTGGGCTGTTGGTTGGCTGCTCGCCAGATGCACATAATGATGCTGCGTGCTGTGATGCGTGCCCCATTGACCTTCTTTGATACGACTCCTATTGGTCGTATTATCTCCAGGTTTGCTAAAGACGTGGACGTACTGGATACATCTCTTCCTCCACAAATTTCTGATACCATCTATTGCTTGTTCGAGGTAATTTCTTTCGCAGAGAATGTGCCGAGTGTCGAGAATTACCGGTTGAGGTCTTACAATTGCTTTCCCTTTATCTTCTCGATCTCGCAGTACGAATTCCGTTACCCGTTACCATTATTTCCCACCGGAGAACTTTGCATACACCTTAAGGTGCAATCAGATATGTTGTTATTCCTGAATATGTAATTTGTGTTTGTAAGAGATGCCTGAATAATGCTAGTATTGGTATATTATTATGGTATATTACGCTGAATACTTTCGAACGGTATAATTCCGTCCGTAGCTTTGCAAACTGGTATTGAAAGCACATTTGGAACACGTGTAAATGTGCCGTAGAGTCCGCTATCAAATATAATTGTGTCCGTTCTCACAATCGTTCTATTTATGAATCGTTCTATCTATATTGAAGTAAAGGATACTTTAATAGTATCGGATACATGATAAAAGAAATTTAAGTATATCTTAGCGCTAAATGCTTATATGTACTTGTCTAATGCACAGCGATAATCATATTCATAGTACATGTTGGTGGGCCTATGAAACAATCTTTGTTAGTTTGTTCTTGGTTTTTTATATATATAAACAACTGCTGTCTATGAAAGAGATGTGAACGCTCTACTCAACAGATTTCCGCATGGGATTTCCATGAGATTTTATTATTAATCCCTCTTTATTTATGCTTCTTTTTCCAAAACTGATTTGTTCAACTTTGCGTATTATTTATACACATTGATTTTTTTTTAACATGCAAGTATTTCTTTCTATTTCCACTAATTTTTATTGTATGATATAGTATCTCTGTATCTTGTAAGAATAATAATAATGAAGCAGAATATTTTCAGTATTATTAAGAGTTATATGCATTACAGGTGATAGCTACTCTTGTTGTCATAAGTTACAGTACACCTGTATTTATCTTGGTGATACTGCCAATAGGTGCGATTTATTATTTTATTCAACGTTTTTACGTTGCAACGTCGCGCCAACTAAAACGACTAGAGTCAGTGTCGAGATCTCCTATATACTCGCATTTTAGTGAATCAGTGACTGGTATGTTTAAAATTATATACATATGTAAAGTATGTAAAGTATTATGTCTATTATCTCGTAAAATTACAAATAATTTATTATTTAGGTGCGCCGATAATTAGAGCATATGGTGTGCAAGAACAATTCATTCATGAATCTGAAAATAGAGTAGATTTCAATCAAGTATGTTACTTTCCCAGCATTATCGCAAACAGGTATATATTTACAAAGCGATATACTTGATGCTTTTTCATGCTTTAATCAAAATATATCTGTTATAGATGGCTGGCTGTGAGATTGGAAATGGTTGGAAATTTAATTATATTCTTCTCAGCATTATTCGCAGTTTTAAGTAGGGATACCATGAGTTCAGGACTTGTTGGTTTATCGGTCAGCTACGCCTTACAAGTAAGATATCAACTGATGATAGATTGAATATAATAACATTTTAATGTTATATACAATATTTATTGTCATATCGATAAATCTTTACCATGATATTATCTGAGACAATTATCTAAATTAAAACACTAACAACATTTGCATTTTACAAAGAATATTACTAAACATTTATATTTTGTGAAAAGATCCCATGTAATTCGCGTTATGTCTCACAGATTACTCAGACCTTAAACTGGCTGGTACGCATGACGTCCGACGTAGAGACTAATATCGTCGCAGTAGAGAGAATAAAGGAGTACGGCGAGACTGCGCAAGAAGCAGCGTGGAAAAATACGGAGTATACACCTCCGAAAGAGTGGCCTAAGCATGGTCGCGTCGATTTTAAGGACTTCAAAGTTCGCTACAGGGAGGGATTGGATCTCGTGTTGAACGGTTTGACGTTTAGCGTTCTCGGCGGCGAGAAAGTCGGCATAGTGGGCAGAACCGGCGCTGGAAAATCATCCTTGACACTGGCGCTTTTCAGAATAATTGAGGCGGCTAATGGGAAAATCTTGATCGATGATATCGACATCTCTAAGCTGGGTCTTCATGATCTGCGTTCAAAATTGACCATCATTCCTCAGGATCCTGTACTGTTCTCCGGAACATTAAGGATGAATCTGGATCCCTTTGATTGCCATTCCGACGAGGAAGTGTGGAGAGCGTTGGAACACGCTCACCTTAAATCATTTGTAAAAAGTGCGAGATTTTTTGTTGAAAAATTATAAGGCGAATCGTACTTTTGTAAAATATAATTTATTTATTATCTTTTTTCAGATTTGCCGAATGCCCTTTTGCACGAAGTTACCGAAGGTGGAGAGAATTTAAGCGTAGGGCAACGACAATTGATCTGTTTGGCGAGAGCATTACTTAGGAAAACAAAAGTTCTGATATTAGATGAGGCAACAGCTGCGGTTGATTTAGAGACAGACGATTTAATTCAGACTACTATCCGTCAAGAATTTAAAGATTGTACAGTTCTTACAATAGCACACAGACTCAATACTATTTTAGATTCAGACAGGTATGTTTAAGTTATTTTAATATTATATTTCATGTTTGTATATGTGTATATTGCTTGTATATTTTATATACTGCAATTATATTATTTAGAGAATGATGTTTTAGAATATCTATATGAATTTATTTATTTTTTTTTTTTAAGATTCCAACTCTCAATTAACTTCTTATTTTTTTCTTTAATTATAATGAAGAAAAAGAAATAGCTATATAAATACGATATTTTATTAGATATAATATTTTCATATTAAAATAAAATAATATTTGATATTGAATAATTCTTAATTATAATTACGTTAAAATTCAAGAAATAAAAAAAGTTGTGTGATAAAAAAGTGTTAGATTATTTATCTTTTAAATTATAAAGCTATATTAGAAGACATTTGAAATTCGCCATGCTTATTCAACAGAAATTTGAACGACTATCTTTAGCTTCTGCTTTTATTATATTAAAATAATTTTTTATCTTGATATAGTTATATAATGATACAATCAACATCTCTATTTTTGGCTTATATTACGAATGATAATAATGTTTTAGGGTAATTGTATTGGACAAGGGTCTGATTGTCGAATATGATTCTCCAGAAGTGCTACTTCGCAATTCATCTAGCTCTTTCTACAGTATGGCCAAGGACGCAGGTCTAGCTGCTTAAGCGAAAAAAATGCATATTACTTAATGATTTTTTAGCGGTTATATATTATCTGCGAGCCAATGCGTCAAAGTAAATGATAAGCAGAGCCATAGAACAAAAAAAAGAATAACGCGTAGCCTTAGCATAGATTAATTTGTATAGCGAAATATTTCTATGCAGAATAAGCAAGTGCGTTTGATGTAACCGACAGTGCAATAACGTTAAATTCTCGTCAGAATTATTGTCATCAAATTTTACGTTCCGTGACGAGGAATGATTCTTCCCGATTGTACTGTCGATTATCGAACCTATTGTAGAATAAGTTTTGTAGTAAGGTCCTTCGTTGAAATAACGCGACACATTGTTTCTATAAACTAGTGTCGATATGCAATATTTAACTTTAATCGGGCAGTGGTCGAGTGAATTCTTATATGATCAATATATTAGCATTCTAGTAAATAGAGCATCAATAAATTATGTTTCATTCTTTATAGTATAAATATAATGTAAAAACATTTTTTTTATATTTCTCTACAGATCTGTTCTTATAATTTATAATAATGTATTTAATTATAAATGTAAGTATGACAGATTTTTAAATCTCATTTGCTTATTTATAAAATAATATTTGATTAATATTAATATATACAATGTATGATATATTACATTATATCAATTGTTATGTTTTTATATTCAATATTGATATAATATTATAATATATTATTATTGTATGTAACGTATAACTTTTAAGTAAATAATATTCTGTTGTTTTCAACGAAGTACCTGGTACCTGGGAAGTCAAAGTTAATACTGGTATGTTTCTAAGATTTGATCAAGTGGAATTTTTCACTCGACGATTATTAGGTTAAAATATGCCCATTTGAATAGTTTGAATTATTAAAAAAAGACTATTGACTAATACTGTATACAGTGATCGATAAAAAGTACGTGTTCACTCAAGCTAAAGAAAAGGGAAGAAAAAAATTAATTAACTGAAATTATTTCAAATAATCTATGAAGTAAACGAGCTTTAAAATGCTCTTTGTACAGTTATAATAGGTTTGACAACATTCAGGATGTGTACTTCTTTGTGCGCACATGAATTTTTTCTTACAATTGTATCGTTCATCTAGAGATGCGCATTTTTATTTTCACATTTTTTAAACATATGACAATCAATCGCGATGACATTATTCATTTTCACTTTATTAAATCAAATGTTGAAAGACCAAGCGAGATGTATTTTAATCTGATTTCTTGCATACTTATTATATTAGAAATTAATTTTAAATCGAAATTGAATACCGCTTATATATAATAACGTAATATTTTATTTTTATAAAATCACTTGTTGAAGCAAATAATAGTAATGTAATAGCACTTTCAATTTAGTATACATTTTGTATGCAGAAAAATATTTAGAAACGTAATGCGACATCACATTTTACTGTACATATTCTATCTCTTTATACAGTTTCATGTATTATCCACAAAGTATAGTTAAATAACATTTGTGCCTATTTTACAAAGAGCAAAGAAATCGCATTTATTATATCGAAGATTATATAGAGTACACAACTTTTAAAGTTATATGACTTATATATTTCGCGTTTCTTGCCAATGATTTATTCATGTCCTTAGGTAAATTCTTATAGTTTAGTATTCTCTTGAATTATTTACTGTTTTGTATAACAATTGTACACATGTATTAAATTTATATAGCATTTTAAATCTCTTTAGTATCATATATTATTGTTATTGGATACTTTGGAGAATATTAATATTACGTTAAATATATTTGCCTTGTATTTGCTGTTTTATTTGTAAAGGCTGCTGGAAATAAGATAATTAAAAATCATTCTATAATCGCTTAGTGCTTTATCGTTTGGATGTAATTTTGAATAATAATTCAACATTAATGAAAAACATGTGATTTTTGTCACCTTTAAAAAAGGCGATACTAAATTTATAAAATACTGCAGCTAAATTTATAATAAAAAGAACATAGTATTGATCTAATGACAAACATTAAAGAAAAAAAGCCAAATGCCAAATGAAATAAATCAAATTTCAGAGCGATTTAACTCGATGAAATTTATATAATCTATTCGAGTCTTTTGTAAAATTACAGATCTGGTGTAACTGCCAGATTATAATAGAAAATACTTGGTATCCCGCTGTAAATTTTAAAGCAATGTTTATGATTTTATTAATAAGTTACATGAACTAGAAAATAGAAAATATTTTGGTTCGATTAAATTGTCATGCAATGTCGATCTATATTTTTCGTCTAAGTGTCGGTCCACAATAAGTGATTTAAGCTTTAAGAAGTAAGAAATTGACCAATTATAATCGAATATGAAAAGAATACTCGACTATGATTAGTCAATTTCTTACGGCTTATAGATTAAATATTTATTGTGGACCGACATTAATATCATTAGAAGTTTCGTTGTTTTGAAAATTGGTCTCTTAGTGTGTTTAATATCTGTGCTTTCAGTCTCTTGTGCAAATTTAAAAATCTGCAAGCAACTGTTTTATCATTCATAAAACTATGGGATAATCACTGAATCTGGTAAAATATTACTTTAATTTTTCCAAGTTTAGTGTAGTACATTTCGCACATGTTCCAATTCAAACAAAACTTTACCGTTTAATATTTAAAAATTGGTTAAAATTCTTGTTCACTTATGACTACTCAAATTGTGACATCAGAAATTAAAAAATAGTAATGAAAATGCTTGCAAGATGTATTTTATGGATTCATCTTCAAAGCATTATTTTATTAGAATATTTTTGCAAGAATATCTAAAATGGAAATATGTTTCGATAAGATAGTATTTACAATCAATAGAATCGACTTATAAAATAAGTATACTGAAAACTTCTTTTGTTTTGTTAATTAAATAGCTACATCTACAATTTGAAAATGAGTTATGCATAATCAAAAATGAAATGAATTATGTTATTTACACAACTATAATAAATATATAATATAAATTAATATAATATATAGAAATAAAAATATGATTTATTTCTTCCCCGAAACAAAATAATTTTCGATATATTTTACAAATCTATTCTATTGATTGCAAATATTGTTTTAATATTGTTTGAAAAATATTTCTACTTAAAATATTTTGCAGAAGAATTTTTATTGTATATTTTCTCTCTTATGTTAATCTGCGATAGTAATGATGAGTAACCAGAAACCTTAAAAAGAAAATCGAAAGAATTATACAAAATAAATTATTTTTCATAATTATGTATTGCGAAGAGAGTATGCGAAATTGTATTTTAGCGTTATTATCTCTCTTGTTAATGATATATAGATTAGATAAATTAAATATTTTTTAACTGTTTATTTCGCAGTTACGCGTGCTCTCACAGTTTCAATTAAATTATCTTTTATCTTAATATGTGCATTGTTGAATCCAACTTCTTGAATAGAAAGTGATGATGGGTTTTTTTTTACTGTTTTCTTATCACATCTGGCATTTTTAAACATGTGTATATGTAAAATTTTCACAATACTGGTATATCATTCTCATAATGCAGACATTAAAACAAAATATAAAAATGGTATTCTCAATATTGGTTTCTTTCTTGTTTGTTATGTATCTTAGATATAATACTAAGCATTAAAAGAAAGCTTAAAAGCCCCGCAGGGAATAAACA